TAGTGGACATCCTTGTCTTGTTCCTGATTTTAGCATGAAAGATTTCAGCTTTTGACCATTTAGTATAATGTTGACTGTTGAGTTTTCACCAATGGCTTTTATCAGGTTGAGATAAAGTCCATGTATCCCAATTTTTTGCAGGTTTTTTATCTTTTTAATCATAAGGGTGTTGGATTTTGTCAAATACTTTTTCTTCATCTACTGAACTGATCACACGGTTTTTGTCCCTGACCGTTAATACCGTGTACTGAATTTATTGATTTATGTATGTTGAACCATGCTTGCGTCCCTGGGATGAATCCCACTTGGTTAGGATATTTGGTCTTCTTGATGATCTTCTGCATTGATGGGCCAGTATCTTATTGAGGATTTTTGTATCTGTGTTCGCTACAGAGATTGGCCTGTAGTTCTATTTTTTGGTTGAGTATTTCTCTGCTTTTGATTCACATCGTGTAAGGAACCTCCGTCCTGTTTTTCATAATGGCTGTACTAATTTATGTTGATTCACACATTGTTCAAGGGCTCCCCTTCCCCCAAGTCCTCATGGACACTTGTCATCATTTGTAGTAGCCACTCTAGTTGGGGTGAGATGCAATATTGTAGTGGTTTTGATCTGCATTTCTTTGATGACCAGGGATGGCAGGCAGGATCTTCCCCTGACTTGGGATCTCACCATGTATTTTGGGCTGGCCTCCAACTCAGCATCTTCCTGCCTCAGCTTCACCTAGTGCTGGAACCACAGGTTCACACCACTGCACCTGGTTCCTGTCCCTGAGAAAAATCTGCTCGGGTCTTTTGCTCATTAAAAAAAAATTCTTTTATCTGAGTTTTTAAAATTTAACTGATATATAAACATACTAAAAACAAAAGTTGTATGTATTTATGGGGGCAGTGTGGAATACTGATATGTGTATACACCGGTGATGTTTACCCGAGAGTAAAAGCTCCTCAAATGAACATTTCCTAGTATCTTTTACATATTAACTCATTATCAGATGTACATTTGTAAGTATTTTCTCCCATTCTGTAAATTCTCCCCCTACCGTTTCTTTTACTGTTTAGCTTATTTTAGCTTGATATAGTCATATGTATAAATTTTTGCCTGTGCTTATAAGATCTTATTAAGAAAAGCTTTTGCTGGAATAAGGTCACGAAGCCTTCCCCATGTCTTCTTCTATTAGTTCCATTCTTCACATTTAATGCAGTTTGAGTTGTTTTGTATCACTAAGAGTCTAATGTCCTTCTGCAAGCGAACATCCTTTCACAACACCATTCATTCAGGACTTCTTTTTCTCCATTGTGTTTTTGGGACTTTTGTTGAAAATGCATACACACACTTCAGTGTGTGGCCTTCCATCCTACTGCACTGGACTGTGTATTTTTTTATTGCTTGTGCCTGCTGCTGGGGTTACTACAGCTTTGTGATACACTTTGAGGTCAGATAGTAGGATGCCTCCAGCTTTGTCCCACCTGCTAGGATTGCTTTACCTATTTGTGGCTCCACGTCAATTTAGGGTAATTTTTTCTATGCCTGCGAAGAATGTCATCAGTGTTTTGATAGGAACTGCACTGATACCCAGCACCTTTCAATCTGCACACTAGGAGAGGAGCTGTTAGCTGGAGATGCAGTTTGAGAACTGGTGTTTGATTGGTTACAGACTTATCTGTCCCTTTTGTACCCCCTGCAGCAAGTGGGACCACAGTGAAGCCAGCTGTGGCTTCAGGAATGTTGTAAAAATCCACCCATGACTGGGCCACCCCAGGAGAGCACACACCTAGCAGGCATAGCCCTTGGGTTGAGCCCCAGCATTTAAAAATATTATGACTATGGAATTAGGCTTAAAGATGACTATGAGGAAAGAATTCAGAACAAATCACGTCATGTAAAAGTGTCAGCAAATACCTGATCAACAAAAGCCAGAAAAGCAATGAGGCACTTTTCCAGACTGGGCCCCACCTGTGTGGTACCTTGTTCCTGCCTCGTCTGGCCGAGTCCTCTTTGATGACTGCTTCGTGTGACGATTACATCCTACACAGAAACACATCCCCCAGCCTCTCCTCTAGCATGGCTGATCAAGACTTGTCGGGGATTCTTGATACTTTAGAAAAGTTTCTTTCATCTTCACAAATTATTCTGGAACAGCCATGTGGTTGTTGTGAATCCTGTAGAATGTGCAAAAGCCATGACCATGTTTCTTTCAGGTATGAGTGGCGGGACTCTAGCACAGGCCAGGCATTCCCAAACTAACCTTTGGCCCTTGGAAGAGTGTGTGCTGTGTGTACCACTGCAGAAACTTTCTGCCTTGAGCATCTTGTTTGGAGCAGGCATTATAAGTGAGTCTGCTTTTAAATTCACACATCTGCTGACTGCAGGACACACCAGCTCCTAGCTCTCCACATTGTAAGTCCCTTTTGTGGCTGTCGCTATGTCCTGAATTGATTCAAAATATTTGCCTTTTCTGGTCATTCTGGGGATGAGCCAAGTCTCTTGGTGGCCGATCCAGTGACTAGGGTGGATGAGGACCTATGTAATCTTTTCACAAGCTGCCTTTCTGTTGGATACCATTTGTCAGCAGCATCTGTCCAACTTAAGATCATAACTCAAAGACTCACGAAAGAAGGCTTCTCTTTTCTTCCAGAGCTGCTTCAGAAAACAGCAAGGATGATGGGATCAGCATTATTTCAATCAAGGAGGGAGGTTCTGAGGATTGGTGGCCCTTGTACACAGCCTCTCTGGGGTGCGGCTCAGGAAGGCAGACCCTCCCGGGCGAGTTGGCTGGCCAACACTGGGGCTGCAGCTCCACTCCTGGCTCCCAAGGCACACAGGTCTGTGGCCTGGCCCTAGACCTCGGCTCCCAGAGGGTCCCTTTTATTTATTTTTAAAGCATTCCATTTGGGTGGGGAGGGGTGCCAGGGATCAAAATCAGGACACCTTGTGCTTATGAGGCAGGAGGAGGAACCACTGCGCTAAATCCCCGGTCCTACTCAATTTTTTTTCAACCAGTGTTACAAATATGTGTTTAATGGTAGGAATAGTAAAATAGGCTTCCTGCATTCCCCTCCCACACCCGAAACCCACCTTGAACCTCAGGCTTTTTTTCTGCATCTACTTCCACATTCTGAGACCCAGTGCTACTCTACATTTCGGACAGGCTCACTAACTGCTCACTGGACCGGGAGCTCAGCTTGGGGTCCGCACGCACCCTCACACAACCCATCCCCTCGCCCTCTCCCGGGCTCCTAGCAGTCCTCGGCACATCTCCGTTAGTCTCTGTGTAAAATGACCACAGCTGAGACACGCAGGGTCCGTAGTTCCCCCACCTTCCTCCTTTTGTTTGGCATTTACAAGGTGTCTGCTTTTATTTGCTTAAAACTCTATGTATACTTCAGGATCAGAGATCTCCCTCCCCCTGACTGGAGTGTAAATCAGGTGCTGACACCCGGACCCTTTCAGCAGGCTGATGTGGCCCGAGCTCCACCTCGGGCAGCTCCAGGGATGGCTGCAGAGGAGGCACCGTGCTGAAGACTCTTCTGGGTGTTTCTGTTGTGTCCATCTGGGTCTTCCCGCTCGGTGACCGCCTTCTGTGGGCCAAGAGGGGCTGAATGTGTTTACTGGCCGCCATGCCGCCTTCTCGCTGTGGATTTCCACTGCCGCAGTAAAGACCTCTCAGGCACCCCAGGAAGGTGACCAACTTGTGCTCCTGTCTGCCTGCTTGCTCACCTCCACCGCTTACTCTCAGTTTAAGGGTCCTGAATCATCCTCGTGGGAACTATGGTGTCCCCTACCTTAGCCCCGTCAAATGTTTGTTTCCTACACTTTTCAAACAGGTCAGGGCACCCTGTGTACCTGAGGCCACGTGCCCCAGGCAGGCCTACCCCTGCACCAGAGCCGTCAGCTGGGCCGTGGGTCCGTCCTTGGGCCGGGCAGCAACACCAGGCCCGCGGAGCCCGTTCACCTGGAGCCTCTGAAGCAGAACCACCCGGAAGACGCACGGAAACAGCTCTCAGCCCCACGAGTCACCCCGAGGAACCACAGGGCCCTGCAAGCCACAGCCCCTCTCTCCAGCCCGGCCAAGGTGAGACGTTACACCACCTTTGTGCTATCTAGGGGGCATTTGGGGAACCGGCGAAACAGAAATCCAAATGTTCATACGATTGGTTTAATTTTTTTTTTCAGCAGGAGAAAAAAGAATAAAGTTACAAGATTCTTTTAATATTTTCACAATGTTAAAACTAAAACTGAGCTCTAGGCTATGTGTGTAAGTAAATCTAGAACACAAAAGGGTTAAATAAGATTTTTCTCTTTAAAGATACAAGAATTTAAGCTTTCCTTACATTTAACAAACTTCACAGAACAGATACTGTAGGGGAACAAGCCCTTCCTCCCCCACCCGCTCTGCCTTCCGGAGTGGACGCGGCTGCAGCCCCTGTGGGTGCCGCCTCCTCCCGAGGCCGCCTCCACGCAGCGGCTGGGCTGAGGAAGCCGCAAGGGCGCCCTCTTCGGG